AGTAAAACGATGTATTAAAAAAGGGGAAAAAAATGGCGAAACAAAGCCCAAGCATCGCAGGAAAGACCCCCCCCCCCCCAGGAGCCTGTCAAAAGCCCGCCTCTCCAGTCGGCCAAACCTCGCCCTTGTGCCCCCCTTTCCCAGGCCAGCACCCCCCCCCCCCCGGCCGCACTCAGCGCCGCCATTCATTCCTTACTCAATCTTACATTCCATTTGACCTCAAAGGCGCCCTGCATCCCACTTCACCTGCACCTTCTCCCTTCCTCCTCCTGCCCTCTCCCTCCCTTCTTCCACTCTCCCCCTCTCCCTCTCTTCCTCCTCCCTCCCCCTCTCCTTCCATCCCCCCCCCCCCGTGCGCCTACCCCGACTCGCTTCCGCCGATAAGCGTCGCCGCCTACCTGCACGCGAGAGAGAAAAACCCAAAACCTGCTTACTGCTGACACGTCGCTCACAATTTCATATCAGATACATAAACAACACTATAAACTTTACATAATTAATTGTAGACAAACAGTAACGTAACCTGTGATAAGAACATTTGGCAGAAGTTATGATTTCACTTTTACTGATACTGCTTTGAACACTCTGAATGCCTCTACCTCAACCCTATCCCTCTCTCTCACCCTCCGTCTCTCTCTCTCTCTCTCTCTCATCTCTATTCTAGCTCTCCTCCTCCTCTCGCTCGTCGTCTCGCTCGAGATCGCGAGAGCTATGGCTGCGACGTTCGTTGCTCCAAGTCTGTAATTCTCTCTCTAGAGTCGATCTCTGATGCTAAGTCTTTCATGGTAGCTCGAACTCTCTACTAAGACTCGCTCTCTCTGCTGTAGCTCTATCTCTCTCGCGGAGACCCTCTCGTCTCTCTCGTCGCGCTGCTATCTCTCTCTTTCTTTCTCTTTGCTTCGGTCTCAATGTCTTTCATTAATACGTTCGATCCTATATATGTAGATCATGCTTCCTTTTCTATACTATCGTAGAGGAGCAGAGAGTATCATGGCTGATGATGATAGAGAGCTCATTTCTCTTCTCTGTTCTTGTCATAAACAATTACTTGCCTTCTGCTCTCTCTATCCTGATATTGCGAAAGGCTCGCAAGGAATTAGCTATCGAGAGAGAGACTGCTACTCTAATCGAGTATTCTCTGCCTCGCTCTGTCATCTATATTCTATTGAGTTCCTTCTCGTATCTAATTATCTGTAGTCGATAGAGGAGGGATGTAAGGATATCAGACATAGGTTGTACGTTCTATCTCTCAGCGCAGTCTGTCATGACTACATACGCTAATTCCTGGAATGAGAGCAGCGCAATGAGTAACCGGATCTCTATCAGTCGGAAATTCGCTCTAGAAGTTTTCCTGCTGATATGTCTCATGTCTTTCAGGCGTCTCTGCTCTTGTCTTACCTTAGCTCTCTCTTGGTGGTCTTTACTTACGCTCTCTGTCTTCACGTCTCTGCTGCCTTATGTCTTGCCTGATACTGTCAGCATTAAGTGAATATAGTATATGTCTTTACAGTGACGATGATATCTTCTGTTAATTCTCTTCTCGTGATTGAAGCGAGTATGAGAAGAGTTAATTCATTCTTCGACTCTCTCCTTCATTGTACTCTATCGATTTATTTCATGTCTCCTCTCTTCTTTCAGTTCTCTCTATATTGACTTTCATTCTCTCTTATCTTTCTATCATTCTCTTCTCTCTATTGCCCATTCTCTCATATATTTCTTTCATTCATCCCTTCTCGTTGACTTGCAATTGCTCTCTAGTTGAGTTCATTCTCTCCTCTCGTTGATCGTAATTATCTCTCTCTGGCTTGCATCTCTCAGTACTTGACTTTATCTCTCTCTCCTTTACTGTTTTTGTCATACTTCCTGCTCTTCTTTCTTCATTCTCTCTCTCTTTCTTTCATTCTCTCTCTCTTTCTTTCATTCTCTCTCTCTTTCTTTCATTCTCTCTCTCTTTCTCTCTCTCTCTCTCTCCAGTTCCTCTTTGATTACCCCAAACCCTTTACTCTTATCGTAAGTTTTCCTTCTTCTCTTTCTCTCTTATGTTCAGCATTATTTCCATTCTCCATCTCCTCTTTTATCCTCTTTCTTCCCATCACTAAGCCACTCTCCTTCCCAAGGCTCTTCTCCACTTCCTCCTCTCTCCTCTCCCTCTTCCTCTTCCTTCTCATCGCTTTCCTCCCTTCCCTCCTCACTCTCCTTCTTCCTCTTATTCACCTTCCTATGTTCTCTCCTCTTTCCTCTCTCATCCCTGTCTTCGTGTTTTCCTTCTCCTCTCCTTTTCCCCTTCCTTTTTTTTACCCCCCCTTCTCCATCCTTGCCTTTTCCTGACTTTTCTTCCTTTTTCCCATCTTCACTTTCCCTCTTCTTCCCTTCCTTGCTCCCTCCCTCCCTCTCTCTCTCCTTCCCTCATTCTCTCTTTCTCCTTCTACTTCTCTCCCTCTCCTCCATCTTCCTCTCCCTCCTCCTCCTTCCCCTTCCTCTGGGGCACGAGGATCGACAC